GATGAACACCGCCGCCATCTTAGACCTACTGAGCATGCACCATAATGCAACCAGGAAGAACAGAATGGACCACCTCCCGTGACGTTGACCTGTACCCCTTAACTCCTTTCCCTTGAAAAGACCCTGAACAGCTTCCCTTGCTGGACTGGATTTACTGTCACTTTTCCCCTGTGGTGGATTGAATTATGTCCCCCAAACCTCATTGAAGCTTGAATTGTGTCCCTCAAGTTTTATGTATTAGAAACTTAGCCCCACTGTTACTGTCAAGAGGGTGGGAAATCCTATTATGGTAATTGTAAGGTGGGGCCTTGAAGAGGTGATTAGATTATAGGGCCATGCAGTGGTGAATAGATTAAAAATCATGATCAGGGGTGTGGTTCTGAGGACTTTAAAAGAAGAGGAGAGTCTGTCTCTCTCTCTCTCTTGCTTTCTCTACTTCCACTATCTTGCAATGTGAGACCCCTGGTTCACTGTTGCCACCACCAGATGGACTTTGAACTTCCCAGCCTCAGAAACTATAAGCAATAAATATTGTTTTCTTTGTAAATCACCCAGTTGCAGGTATTCTGTTACAGCAACACAAAATGGATTAATGCAGAAAATTGGTACCAGAGAAGTGAGGTGTTGCTTATAACAGATACTGGAAAACGTGGAAATGGCTTTGGAACTGGGTGTTGAGGAAAGATTGGAGGAGTTTGGAGGACTCAGAAGAAGATAAAAAGATGAGGGAAAGTTTGGAATGTCTTAGAGACTGGTTATGTGGTGGCGAGCAGAATGCTGATAGAAATATGGACTGTAAACACCATTCTAAGGAGGTCTCAGATGGAAATCAGAAGGAGTTTATCAGAAACTTGAGCAAAGATCACCCTTGCTGTGAACTGGAAAGGAACTTGGCTGCATTGTGTCCATACCCTAGTACTCTGTGGAAGTTGGAACCTAAGAGTTGTGAGCCAGAGTATTTGGCGGAAGAAATTTCTAAGCAGCAAAGCATTAAGGAAATTGCATGACTACTTGTAATAGCCTACGCTGAGTTATGGCAGCAAAGGCATGATGTAAAGCCAGAATTTAAAAAGGAAGCAGAATGTAAAACTTTAGAAAATTTGCAGTCTGACCATTTGGTAGAGAAGCAGAGAGAATGCAATGGTGCAGCCCAGTGATCATTAGCTAAGAAGATTAGTACAAAGAAAAGGGATTATCAAGAGAAGGGGAAAAGGGCCCTGAAGGCATTGCAGAAGCCTCTGGCGCCAACCCTTCCATTTCAGGCCCAAAGACCTAGAGAGGCAAAATGGTCTTGGGGAACCGGCCTGAGGCACCCTCCACAGGCTCACTGCTCAGGACCACCTTGGGAAGCTGCTTCCAGCACCAGCATCCCAGCTGCTTTGGCCCCAGGGGTGGCTGGACATATGGAAAATACAAGCTGGAAGCCTTGGCAGCATCCATGTGGTGTTAGGTCTGCAGGGCTGCAGAATGCCAGAGCTGTGGAGGCTTGGGAGCCTCCACCCCGATTTCAAAGGATGTATGGAAAAGTCTGGGGGCCCAGGAAGAGATCTGTCACAGGGCCAGAGTCACTGCAGACAGTCTTCACTAAAGCAATGATGGGCCGGCCCGTGGCTCACTCGGGAGAGTGTGGTGCTGATTACACCAAGGCCACGGGTTCGGATCCCATATAGGGATGGCCGGTTTGCTCACTGGCTGAGCGTGGTGCTGACAACACCAAGTCAAGGGTTAAGATCTCCTTACTGGTCATCTTTTGAAATAAATAAATAAATAAATAAAGCAATGCTGAGTTGAAATGTGGGGTCAGAGTTGCAGCAGAGAAACCCCAACAGTGCCATGCCTAGTAGAGCCATGAGAGAAGGTCCACCATGGAGACCGCAGACCTGTGGAGCTACCAGGGTGCAATGCCAGCCTGTGAGAGCCAAAGCATCACCTGAGACCAGGAAAGCCATAGGAGCAGAGCTGCCAGAGGACTTGGGGACCTAACCCCCACACCAGGGTGTAGAGGACATCGAACATGGAGTAAAGGTACCCAATTCATTGGCTTTGAGATTTAATGCCTGCCCTGCTGGATTTTGAACTTGTTTGGGACCTGTTATACCTTTCTTTTGGCCTATTTCTCCCTTTTAGAATGGGAATATATACCTTATGTTTGTCCCACCATTGTATCTTGGAAATGATTAACTTATATTGACTTCATTCACAGATGCAACTTTGAACTTTGGACTTTTGAGTTGAAACAAGTTGAGACTTTGGGGATGAAATGAATGTATTTGCATGTGAAAAGACATGAGTTTTGGGGGGCTAGGGGCAGAATGTAGTGGATTGAATTATGTTCCCCCAAACCTTATTGAAGCTTGAATTGTGTCCCCCAAGTTTTGTGTATTATAAACTTAGCCCCAGGGCTGGCCCGTGGCTCACTTGGGAGAGTGTGGTGCTGATAACACCAAGTCAAGGGTTAAGATCCCCTTACTGGTCATCTTTAAAAAAAATCAAAAGAAAAAGAAACTTAGCCCCTGCTGTGACTGTAAAGAGGGTGGGAAATCCTATTATGGTAATTGTAAGGTGGGGCCTTGAAGAGGTGATTAGATTATAGGGCCATGTAGTGGCTAATGGATTAAAAATGGTGATCAGGGGTGTGGTTCTAAGGACTTTAAAAGAGGGAGTGGCGTCTGTCTCTCTCTCGGTCTCTCTACTTCCACCGTCTTGCTCTGTAAGACCCCTGGTTCACTGTTGCCACCAGATGGACTTTGGACTTCCCAGCCTCAGAAACTGTAAACAATAAATTTTGTTTTCTTTATAAATCACCCAGTTGCAGGTATTCTGTTATAGCAGCACAAAATGGACTAATATGCCCTCCTTATGCATAAGCCTATCTCCTCTTTTTTTTTTTTTCTTTTGTCTTTTTTACTGACGGCAACGGGATCGCAACCCTCGGTGTCGCGCCCGCACCGCACTCAGCCAGTGAGAGGGAACCGCTCTCCATATGGGATCTGAAACCTCGGCGGGAGCGCCGCTGCGCTCTCAAGCGGCGCACTCTCCAGTGCGCCACCAGGCCGGCCCTCTATCTCCTCTTTTAATAAGCATTGCTGGCTTTACTGCTGGGCACATTGTTCATTTCTATGACTTTGGAATCCAAGAGCTTAATTTAGTCACTGGCAAAAAATAGAAAGCTTTGGGCACCAGAGAAGACTCTAGCTGTGAGAGGCAAGTGGACACTGGGACTATTTTGCTCCCATGTCTCTGCTGGTAAGTCTCTCCTGGAGTCCCTGGCCGAAATTCTGACAAGGCAATGCTTTATTCTCTTTTACTCTGCGCCCCCCCCCCCCTTTTCTTCCTCTTCAAAGTGACTGCCAGACAACTACAGCTTAAACTCCTCTCATCCTGCGAGAGGCATGCTCCCTCTGTCTGGCAACGGCTTGCCCTGATGGGTAACTAGCAGAGGTGGGAAGGCCAGACCTACACCATAAAGATCTTGCTTGAGCAGATTCTCCCTGACAGGGGATTCAAGGGAGTGGGGAGGATTCATCCCCACACTGCACAGTGACTGGAAGTCCAGAAGTCACTAAAATTCTCTTTGCCTTTCTCTGAGCTTCTGAGCCCTCTTCTGCTATTTGGTTGGATTGTAACTGCTACAATGTAGGTGCAACCTGGAGGGCTCCCGGCCATGCTTTGTTTGCCTGATTTAAATCTAGTTGGTACTTTTCTTCTTTGTGCCAACAACAGTGGGGAGGACTGCTTGTATCAATTACTGTGTCAGTGGAATAGCGGGTTGGCCCCGCCGATAGGGACTAGGATAAACTGGATCCCACTGCTCTTCTTTTCTCTTTATTTGCTTGGTTAAACATTTAGTTGAGTACTGGTAATCTGAATAAACCTCCCAATCCTTGCACCAACTTTTGGACTTTCAAGTCATTTTTTGTTTAGTGTGAGAGGGAAAGGCAAGCCTCGTCTGTTAGTAACAGTGGTTACATTGAAAAAAGCTTTTATTAGTTATAAATGCATATAAGTGAGATGACTTATGTCTGGCGTGTGCTTTAAAACACTCTGGAAAAAAAAGCTGGAGATGGGAATAATGAAATGGGAAAAGTGTTGATAATTGTTGAATCTGGGTGATGGGTGTATAGAGATTTATTATAACAAGTCTCTGGGCTTTCATGCATATTTTGAAACTTAGGTAATAAAATATTTACGATAAAAGAAAAATGACAAAAAGAGGCACCTTATAAGCCTTCCTGAGTCTGAACTTGATTTTTAACTTTTTATTTTGAAATAATTGTAGATTTATACAGGAGTTGCCCTCAGCCATGCCACCCCAACATTGGCATCCAGCCCAGCGACAACCACCAAACGGTTACTGGCAGTGCCCAGGGCTTCCCTGCTGGAATGATGGAATGACGGGGGTGCCACTGGTGACCATGCCCCACCTCCTTTCTCCTCCTCCCATCCTATTTTCCTCCCCTTCCCCCCTTCCCCTCCCCCAGCTGCTCCACAACATCTTAAAATGTAAAAAAAAAAAAAAAAAAATACTACTAATAAATTTAATTTTAGAAAAATTTATAGATGAGTTACAAGATAGTTGAGTCTTCCCATATAGCCACCTTCCTTTAATGTTACATCTTATAGAACCACGGCACATTTATCAAAACTAAGAAATTAGCAGTGATACAATACCATTAGCTAAACTACAGAGTTTCTTCTAATTTCTACAGTTTTTCCACTAACCTCCGTCTTCTGTTCCAGGATCCAATCCAGGATACTAGGTCGTATTTAGTTGTCATTTCTCCTAAGTCTCTTCAAATATGTGGCAGTTTCTTAGTCTTTCCTTGCCTTTCATGGCTTTTGATACTCTTGAAGAATAGTATCAAATATTTTGTATTCTGTTTCACAATTTGGATTTGTCTGGTGTTTTGTCATTAGATGAGGTTGTGGATTTGGGGAAAGAATACCACAGAGGTGATGTGTCATTCTCATGGCACCATGTCAGGGGACAGACACATCATGCTATCAGGACTTATTACTTATTATTAACCTTGGTCACTCGGTTAAGAGGGTGTCTGCCTGGTTTCTTCACTGTGTTTCCCTTTCTACACTTAGTAACTCTATACTTAGTGACTCTGAAGTCACTAAATCTGCCCACACTCAAGAGGATTTTAAGAGTGGAGTGAAGTCACTGAAGGGACCTAAGCACAGGAGGACTGGGTTTCGAACGTCTGTCTTAGGAGGAATATGCTGGCTGCAATGTGGAGATGAGGTATGGTGGAGTTTACAGCAGACTGGACATACACTGATGGATTTTAGGAGACCAACTCGGCAGGAGTTGAGTGTTTATCCGACGTGAGGGATGAGAGAAACTGCAGTTGGGTGCGTGGGGCCTGTGCGTCCCTAGGAGGTTGTCTGCTTCCCCCACCCCCTGGTGAGAAACCACATTCTGCTTCTCGGTCTTTCGTTGCTTTGGGGTTGGGTTCCTGAGGGTTACCAGGGCTGGAAAATGACTTACCTGCATACAAACAAATTAGGAGAGATTTGGGATTACCAAGGAGGGTCAGAATCCCTGACTTACAGCAGGGACAGCAGTCGGAGGGACTGAAAGGAGCTGGGGAAAGTCATCCCTAAATCCTCTCTCTTCTCAGTTCAATGACCCAATTATGATCGCGGCATCAGAGAGTCCATGACTCAGTGGTTTCAAACAGATGATTTTATTTACCTTTTCGTGGCCGCGGGTGTCTATCATGTTTTCTTTCGGAAGCGTGTTTGGGGAGGGGGCGGACTGCTACGGCCTCAGCACTCATCTCCGCCGGCGGGCCCCGCGCCCGGATTTCTTTTCTCCTCGGCGCCTTCGGGTGGGGGCGGGAGAGGCGGCAGGAGCCGGGGCAGGGGGCGCGGGGCCGGACGCCTGGCGGGCCGCAGCCCCTTGCGGGGGCTTGTAGACCAAATGGAAGATGAAGGCGTTGCAGTACCTGGGGGTGGGGGTGGGGCGGCGGGCGCGGC